TGTAGAAACCAGTTGTAGACAGTAGATTATTTTTATTTTGTGTTGGAATTTGATGAAACTGATAAGAATAGTATTTGATGAGAGTGAATTTTCATGTGTTATCCTCTTCAGGGATTCTGTCATGCACGTGTACGTTTAGTTTTTTAAAATTATGATTATTATAAGTAAAAAGAAAATTGTAATCAGTTGGAGAACTATTTATTATAGAATCCATCAACAATAGAAAGAAAACCTTGTCGAATATCACCACTAATAGTGTTTATTCTATTTCATAATCACTGCTTTGAAATCATCATAACATTAACTTTTGATAGAGTTTCTTCCACTTTAAAAATTTCGTCCCTGAAGAGGCTAATAATTAGGTATCTAGGTGTCAAGTCTAGCATTTGCATTGTTATCAGAAAATTAGTGAAATTAAATGATAGGCTACACATTTATTCAATAACTCTGAATACTCTGATAAATAAATAAAATAATTATACAAGATTCTGCAGAGATTCAATGAAAATAATATTTTAATTTGTCGACGGATATAAATAAATAAATTTGGATATTTTCCTAATAATAATTTTTATATTAATTATATTATAAATTATAATAGTAGCATAATGCAAGAACTCATCATAGAAGTCTCTGAGTATCTCGGATATGAACGAAAATATTTATAATTTTGATTATAAACATAATGCTTAAGCTAATTCGCGTGGGAGAGTGGGGATATTAGGTCACAACATATGCCAATGAAGATGTTGAACTTTGAAATGACACATGCACAGGGAGATACATTGCATTTGACGACGATGTTTTGGAGGTACTATTGAGAACAGATTCTGCAACCGCAAGCAGAGAATTAGCTCAGAAGGTAGATACAACTCATACAGATGTTCGCAAGCATCTTCTGCAGTTGAGAGAAGTTGGGAAACTGGGGTTTATTGCTATAGGATATGAGAAAACTTCAAATCGATTTTTTAAGAATTATACCCGATAACATGTTTGGAATTTTCTATATCGATTCTAGTCAGGAAATTGAATGTATCATTTTTCCTAATTGTAAAAACAAAAAGGCTGGAACCAGTTCATTTAACCAGCTTAATAATTCTGATATTAAATATAACAGGAAATTTTTCTGGCAATATTAGATTCAAAACTGTCGATCTAGCAATTAATTTTCAGATGATCCAACATCTCTCCTCTAAGAAACGCCTCTCCTCTGTCAAATGCTCAAATTCCAAAGCACACCCTAAATTTACTCACACTACTCTAAAATCTACAGGAGACACTCCTAGCACCTCATAATTTCGTGAAAGCTGTTCACATAGTCCCAGAAACTCAATTAAGAGACGATCAAGTCGAAAGCTCGCTGCGAATTAATCGTTAACCAAAATTCCGCGAAAGCCAGTGGAATCGCAGTTCTGGCCCATAAAAGTCTCGTTCCAGGCTGGAAGTCATCGGTCGTGTGCCGATGGCCGCCTCGAGGCCGACACAAAGAACGGCGTGGAACGACGAGCTTCTCGGAAGCAATAGCGGAAAGAACGCGTTCGCCGGCCATAATTCCCTCTACTTTGTGTCACAAAGTGCTGGGCGATATAAATGTTTTCATTGTCGGCGAGCGAGCTACCCCCACCACGTCTCGTCGCTTTCCTACCCCTACTACCGTCCCTTCGACGAGCCGGAGCCGCACGCTGGCGCAAATGTTCAACGGCGCTGACGATAAAATCAAGATCGTCCTTTTTCCTCTCTCTTTCTCTCTTTCTCTCTCTCTCTCCCTTTTTCTCTATTTTTTTTTTTT